GGATTTAAAACAATTGAGAGAATATTGTTAATATTTGGAAGTATCCAAATAAAAAAGTTTTGTATTAAAATATCAGTTGGTTGAATTATTAAATATCAAAAACATATTAATATACATTTATACCAAATTTAAAGATATAGATTTTAATATTTTCTTTTGACAAATATAATTGATTCTATTGACAAAGGCAAAAATTCTGATAATTATTAATCTCAGATAATTAATTATTATATAGTAAAATTAATATACATATATTCGAAATTCAAAGGATAGATTTTGACTTTTTTAACAAATATAGTTGTCTTTATAGACAAAGCCAAAAAATGATAATATTAAAAAATTTATATAGGTAAATTAGTAAATATATAAATATACGTTTATACCAAATTCAAGATATAAATTTTAATATTGTAATTAGACAAAAAATTTTGCTTCTATTGAAGAAATCAGAAAAATTATCATTTATATTAAAAACATTAGTATAAGTAGTAAAAGTGTTTAATGAGAATAAAATGCATCGCAATAGTATAAATAAAATATATACGTTAAAAATATTGAAAAAACTACAATAAAATATTCATCTAGAAATATAGCTATAGTGTGAGCAACCCTTTCTGTTGAAAGGGGAGTTTTATTTTTTGCCGCGAGAGCTATTTTATTTCGCCCCAATCCGCCGATCTTACGACCGGTTAGGACACCCCCCATCCGCCACCTGGAGACGCGCCCGGTGGGAGTTTGACTTCTCCCGACGGGAAAAAATCGTCATTTATACTAAAAACATTAGTATAAGTAGTAAAAATATTTAATGGGAGATTAAAATGCATCGAAGTAGGATAAATATAATAAGAAAATATAACTAGTGTTTAATATTTGGTTTGCCAGAACATTTAAAATGTCGCCAGCTGAACCGATGGTAATTCTTGTATGAAAGATAAAAATAATATCAAAATGATTCCCATGAAAATTTAATTCAAAACATTCTTATATAAATAAAAAGCGATTTCCCTGAAGTTGATGAAAATAAAAATGGAGAACACTTTTTGCACACTATTGTGTTGAAGTTCGACATATACAGATATGTTATTTGAAATATGCATGAAATTTAAAATCTTATCAAAGCTTTAATTGCAAAGTAGTTATATAGAAAAATGTATTAAATAATATAAATATATTTCAAATGTATAGGATAAATTTTGATATTTTTTAACAAATATAGTTGTCGTTATAGACAAAGCCAAAAAATGATAATATCAGAAAAGTTATATAGGTAAATTAGTAAATAGTAAAAATATATAAATATACGTTTAAAATATAAATTTTAATATTGTTATTCGACAAAAATTGTTGCTTTTTTTGAAGAAATAAAAAAAGATCATTTATATTAAAAACATTAGTATAAGTAGTAAAAGTGTTAATGAGAAATATAGCTAGCTAGCGTACGAAACCCTAGGTCAAATGGTGTGACCGACCCTTCCAGCCAAAAGGCGAGTTTTTGCTTTTTACCGCGAGAGCTATTTTATTTCGCCCTTACTCGAGCTTTTTCCGAAAAGACACACGTGGTGGCTGTTACTCTTCAGCTCCAACGCCAAATTTGGTCCGCGAGGGCTATTTTATTTCGCCCCAATCCGCCAATCTTACGACCGGTTAGGACACCCCCTATCCGCCACCTGGGGACGCGCCCGGTGGGAGTTTGGCTTCTCCCGACGGGAAAAAATGGTCATTAATATTGAAAACATTAGTATAAGTAGTAAAAATTAATTTGAATATTGAAAAAAAAAGCTAGACAAAGCTAATCATAATCAAGTCCAATTATCTGCAACATATGCTATAAAAAGATTCTCACTTTAATAATTATTAATAATGAATTCAAAGTCATATATGTACAATTGCAAAAATACTTTTCACAAAATAAATGAAGCACCAAATATGTAATAAAAATAAGTGAAAAGGTTAAAAACTTAAAGGTACTTTCTAAAATATACTTTTAATGATCATTCTATAATTCAACAATATTCATTTGTTAATTAGTTATTAAACTGCTTAAACGCAGCCAGGGAAAATAAAGTAACAAAATGTTTAATTCACAAGTAGAGAAATTAATAACGACAAATTTTAAATCAATAACAACTGTAAGTAAAAAAATAGACTGCATTTATTTAGTTTACTAAATCGTTCAAAATATGATTGTAATATTATTGAATCTACAAGTTAATAGAATGGAACTATATACAAGATACATAAAAAGGCATTATAATATATGTCGTAAACAAAAACACTTGATCGATTTAATATGCATTAAGAAATGATAAAAAATTTAATATAAAATAATAAAATTTAATATAAATATAAAATTTAAAAAGTTTAGCAGAAATAGTTTGTACAGTTGCAAAAATAAATTATATAAGTTCAGTTAAAATTATGTTCAAAAAAGTTACACACGATGCTGTAGACTTACAAACATACTCGCACATAATAATTGTACAGATGCAGTTTTGTACTATTAAAAATATTACAAGATTTCTAAAATATATATTATAAGTTAAAGTTTTTGTCACATGAAAATGATTAAAATTAATATATAAAAATATAGAAAAAAAATTAAATAATTCATAAAAATGCGTTTCATTAAAATAGAAATAGGTTTAATTCAACATTTTAATAAATGCAACAGCACCATCAAAAATGTATAATTAAAATTACATATACGAAAATATAGAAATATAGAAAATAAAAAAATTCACAAAAATGCGAATTGTATTTTCACAAAAGTATTCTTATGTATTTATTTATAAAAATTCATTCAATATTATAAGATTACTAAAATATATATTATAAGTTAGAGTTTTTGTCTCATGAAATGATTA